CATTCCTGATATGTGTTCCTTCATGACCAACAGTTCCAACGATCCAATCCAGAACATCGCTCTCTTCAACGAGTACATGACGGTCTTCTATCAGGTAGTTTGCTTCTTTAAGAAAGGGTTTCTACCAGTCCTTAAGAGGGTAAAACTTCGTTCAGGGTGGTGGTACGTTCAACAGCACAGAAAATAGCTATGCAGATTTCATTGAGTACCTGCGGACCTCGCAACAATACGGTCCCGGTGAGTTTTGCTTAGTTCCAATCCGTTCATCTGCGCTCGTATTCACTGTTCAAGATGCGGCTGCATCGACTTTGTGGACTTGGCAAACCTGCACCGAATTCGGCTATTTCCAGTCCTCCGATTCCAGTTACAGCATCTTTGGGAGCCCAACTCCAGTGAAGTAAGTGGTAGTACTGAAATCAGTTTCGGGAAAATGCTATTTTTGGTGCTGTAAATTGACGTTTATTTGAATCAATGGTCGACGTCCTAGCCTTTAGCCTATGGGTACTGCAAATCTGGTATATAAGGTAATATAATAGTTCTTACTAGACGGTTGATAAGCTGTATAACCTCGTGCAGCTGTGAGTGTATGTTGTTTCATAAGCTACCCCATCAGGAGCTGAGACCCTTACCTGCGTCTGTACTGGGCGAAGCTGAAGCTTGTTGTTCACATAAAGGTAATGCAATGGTTGCGCGCGGGCGGAAACAGGGTCGTGCCACTAATGAACTCTGGGGGTGTGGTCGAACCGCCTCCCAACAGCCATTCACCAATCAACGACTTTGGGCGCCACCGTAGTTGAGGTGTGTGAGGGGGGGGGGGGGTGATGGAGAGTGAGGGCAGTCACCGCCACGGCTTGCGGCAGTCCGCATCCTCTCAGCGAGATTGTGTGAACTCGCACACTCCACCTTTTCACACATATTAAGGGAGTCACCTTTTCCCCTAATCACCTCCTACACCCTCTCCCACTTCCCCGACAGGTACTCCTCGCTTTGCAGTAGGGGGCACAAACATGCCGCGCACCGCGGCGGCGATTGGCCACTCAAAGTTAGCAACCGGCCTGTTTGCGCCTACCTTGAACCAGGCACCTCTTGCGGGCTGGAGAGTGTGGCCAGACCGTTACCCAATGCGCGCTCATCAATAATGTCTCCCAGTCATCCCAACCAGTGCTGTAAGAATTGATTCCATCTGGGCGCAGCTCTGCGCAGGGTGCTATTAGGTCGGTCAAAAAGTATCCGCCGTTCAGCACTTCGAGTTTTTATCTGCATTATTTGGGTGATTTCTTCCAGAACTATTCAAGCAATTTGGGTGTCATCTTGTAGAGGAAGATCAGCCCTCCCATACCCGTCAAAGTCTTGAAGCAGTTCGTGCTACGGGAAATCGTGATTTCGACTGTTGGCACCTCCTGTTTTCGAACTTGGAAGAGACCAGCATAGGTCGGCCGCACTATGTGACCCAACTTAAAGGAGGATTTTACGATTAGAATGGAGGTCGAGGAAGAAGTAATTCACCTAGTTGAGTAACCCACGGACCTCCTGAGGGTGCGAACTGATGCGCAATTCGCATCGAAAAATTTGACCTCGGCGACCTATTATGCCTCAAAGTTGGCGGGTCTGGCGATCTCCGCCCACCGACCAGCTGATCACTCGCCGCAGATCTATACGTGGGAGTGATTAGATAGCAGAGAGAGCGTGATGTTGAAGAGGGCACAGCGATAAGAGTCGCATCAATGCGCAAATCAGCGGGGAAGGAAGGGGTCCCATTTCTCGGGTTCTCGCCGTTTCTATCTCCTCTTTCGTGGTACCACCACCATCCCTAGCTGAATTGAAAATGCTGCTTTCATCGTGAATTCTTGCCTTTAAGGACAAATTACCCGGGAACGCCTTCGCCAGCTTACTCGTATAGATTGGGCCTCGACTAGCGCGAAAATGGTCACGCAGTCAAAGGAAGCATATATCTTATCCTAAATTACATTATATATGTATAGTATATAGTGATGGATTGTATCAAAAGGAACGATGGAGCCCAACACAGACCCATGCTGAATCACAGACACCAATTAGGCCTGATGTCAGACATTGCGATCGAGCGAATCGCTGGATACGAGCGTTGCACCAGCGAATCGAGCTGTGCACCAGCGAATCGAACTTGCACCAGCGAGTCGAACGATGTACCAGCGAGTCGAACTATGTACCAGCGACTCAATAGTGGCGGGACCCAACGTTCAAAGGAAGTCCCACCACTTTTGAACAGTGTCTACTGTCCAGTGTCCTTCGCTGGTGCATCGTTCGATTCGCTGGTACGCAGCGCGACTCGCTGTTGCATCGCTCTCATCCAGCGATTCGCTCGATTATGCAAATTCTGACATCGGCCTACAGGTGTGGTAGGGGAGGTTGGAGTCTCTAAGACACCGTACTCAGTCGGGTGCACGCTGTGAGGAAGGAGGAAAATGTCGCCAATATATTCATGACCCTATGCTTTCAGCTTGAATCGTTGCTGCGCTGAAGAAGGTGGTTAATCGGACTCTTCACTGCAAGAAGGAACCGTTTCTAAGATGGGTATTAGTGTATGATGAAACTATGGTTCCGCACGCTAATAACGAAAGGGTTCTCAGATTGGTGGTCGAAATTGGGCTGCTTCGAATTATTTCAAGTCTAAAGGTTGTGTTTCAACAGAGTAGTAGTCTTTCAAAGTATAGTAGTTCAAAACGGCTGGTACTTTTTGACTAAACTAATCCCTCTTTACCTACACTCTCCTACGTGGACGCTAATCCAGCTGTAGCTCGGAATGCCTGACTTGCATTAAGCGATGCAGGCACCAAATTGGGCAAGTGGCGACGTCAAACGAACACTTTGAAGGGCTAATTGATCCATATAATCTTTTCAGCATGTTTACCAAAATGTGCACAGACGTGTTCGGTGAAAAGTACACTGCGGCTGCTATTCAAAACAGCATCACCAGAACGAATCATCGATACGGTGGAAAAGAGCGCTATAGGGTAAGTTATACCGTTGCTGCTGTGATTACAAATGATTACATACTGAGTGATTTTGCTCTAACAGTGAGGTACTT